ACTTGAGTTGGTTGAGAAGTTGACATTTAGTTAGTGGCGTCAACCCAAAAATAGGGTTACAATCCAACTCAATCCTACCTACTTATAAGATTATTACTAAGATTAAGAATATTTGATATTTGTAACTGGTATCAGTGATGCACTGTGACTTATGAATGCTTGATATTTAAAGTATCGTGGATATGTAGGATTGTTTAAAAAAAAAAAAAAACCCGACAACCCAACCCAATCAAATCCGAAACTTGAGTGTTAGATTGTGAACTTTATATTGGGTTATTTGGGTCACCAATCCAACCAGCTCGGAATTATTTCTCCAACCCAACTCAACCCGTTCATATTCTTACAAGTCGGTGTATTTCAACATCTTATCCAACTCAAACAGTTGAGGGATTACCGACCAAGTTCGTCACTTAATTGCAAGGTTTAGTCGATATAGAATGATAAACAATTTTAACCTAATCGAATCCGAGGAAGAAAAAGGAGAGGCGAGGATGACGAAGAATAAAAGAACATTATTGTGGCCAAGCAATGGAATGAGGTAGTGAAGCGATTTAGTTGCATGAATATGCACAAGATTTAGGGATTCCATCGATTGAGAGATGCTTATATACTTTTGATTTGGGCGGTCCCTTTTTTTAAATCAACTAACGAAATAAAATTTCCAAGTTCAATAGGAAAGAATATATATATATAAAAGCATTAAAAATTGTTTTTTATTAATTAAATTAATAAAAAATATTCTCGTAACTTTCCATTTTTGTCTATAAAATATTCATAAATTTTTTAAAAATTTAAAATCGTTGGATGATGAAGTACTCAGTCGACTAATTTAGAAAATGTTCATGAGTTTATAATCTTCGGGAAGCCTAAAGCTCAACGAACAAATAATTAGGAACTTATTAGACCTTTTCTAAAATTTTAAATACATATCCGACATAAAATTAAAAGTAATTTTACAGTGACCTAGGATATAGTTGAGACATGTTTTGAAGTTCGGGAATCAAAATAGGATAAATTTAAAAGTTTTCGGGCCGAAAATGAAATATAATTTTTTTTTTATTTAACACAAACTTGAAATTTTAAAAACTTAGTGATATGAACCAAGAGACATCAATCTTACAATATACTTCAATAAAAATGTGAAGAAAATATTATTGAAATTATCAAAAGATATTTCAATTCATGCCACGTTGAAGAAGAATGAAGTTTCATGTTTTGAATTTTGGGTGGATTACAATTTAGAGTAATTTAGAGTTAATGTATTTCATTAATGTATTTTAAGACTTTTAATTTACTTTAGATTACAATTACATAATGATTAATTAAAATAAGTTTGTATGAGGATATATAAAGTAATGTATGTTGTATTTGTGAGTAGACTTGGAAAATAAACAGTAAAATAAGCATTTGTGCTTTTTTAGTCAATGACTAAGTTTATTTGCAATTTTATGTAGTTTAGGTTGCATATAAAATCATTCAAGCTCGACATGATCAATCTTCCTTATAGAGTGATTTGAATCTCAAACAAGTGTTTGAGATATTTTATCAACAAGAATCATTCAAGCTAGACATGATCGATCTTGCTTGTGGAGTGCTTCGAATCTCAAAAAATGTTCTTACCTTAAGATATTCGATCAACAAGGTAATCAGAATCTTACTCCTCTTATAGTGATTCTTTATCTTATCAGCTAGGATATAGTTGAACATGTATTGAAGTTCGGGAATAAACATAAGATAAATTTAAAAGTTTTGGGACGAAAATGAAATTTAAATATTTTTAAAAAATTAATTAAAAATGGGAGAAAAATAGGAGAGAAGAGCTGTGTTTATCCATCCATCCACATTTGTTATATGCTTTCTTTAATTAACTTCCACTAAAATCTATTCCCATTTGCCACCTCTTTATTTCACACAAATTCTTGTTCCTTGTTCTTTGGATATGTTATTTTATGGGGTATTTTGGGGATATTTTAAATTTTTATTTTAAAATATTCAATTAAAGAAATTATTCATAGGCATTTAGGAAAGAAAAATATTTAAAAGTTAGCCATTTTATATGATTGTTTAGATTCTCTATGGTCACTTTCTAGCCATTGTGATTAAAATATTTCATTTATCTAATTACATTATTATTATTATTATTATTATTATTATTATTATTATTATTATTATTATTATTATCCCACCGTCTTTTTCGTAAACAATAATTAAATAATCCCGTCAATTAAAAAATAATAATAATTAAATAATCTCATGTTTCAAAATATAAATGAAAATGGAGGTTTTCTTTAGACTCGAGAAGAAAAAACTATAGGTATGTTTGTCGTTTGTGTATATAGCCGAGTAAAAAGTAATATGGTTGAAATTTGAATGGTTAGAGTTTTAAATTTTTTTTCGCTAAAAATGAGGAAGAGAATAATATGAATTCGAGATTTATATGGGAAGCTTTTTCAAATTTGATATCGATACACGGTTGGAGGATTCGATTTAATTTTAAAGAGATAAGGTTGGATCGAGTATGTATAATATACATACAATTACGAGAACAGAGAAAGCTTTCATACTGTCTTTTTTAGTTAGATAGCGAGTGTGTTTGTTCTCAAACAATGAAAACGAAAAGATACGAAAGACTACTTCAACAACATATGGTAGAAATTTTGAGAGATTTGCCTTTGAAAATGCTCACCGTACCGTGCCTTTTACGATTTTCTTACCTTTTGACCTTATTTTTCGAAGGGAGTTGAAACCCACCTTTTTTTCTTCTAAGAGTCGATGAAAAAGTGGACGGGTGATGTTTTGTTCTTAGTTTGGTGTGCTAAGTGTGACGCTCATGGTTGTCCAAGATATATTGCCCATGGTTGCATGTCAAAATCTTTGTGTGCCTATGTCTGATAGACCTAAAATGCCTCATAATGTACTATACTAGAATGCGACTAGTCGTCAGTTTTTCATATCTAGAGTTTTATGCTATTTAAGTCATTGTGTTGCCTTTTCGCTTATAGACTTGGGTATGCGTTGTCAGGCCGAAGACGACACGATTTTGAGTTAGCTAATTAATTCAGTGATGAGAGTGAGTGTCGTACAATCACTTACAAATGTCAAGAACAAACATATGCATTTAAATGGGTCGGGTCCTCTACGAACATCATATATGAATTAAGGAAAAAAAAAAAACTTTCTTAGGAAAAATTCCTTGTGCTAAATTCTTCTCTCTAAAAATAAAAACAGAACATAAACTCAATTCTTGGTTTATATGTAATGTTTACAAATGTGTCATGAGACAGGACCATATTTTTTTTTTAAGATGCTATTCTATGTCGGGATTTAATTAAGTTTTAATCGTTTTCGGGATTTTATTAAATTTTAAATTGTCACAAACTTGGATAATTTCATGACTTATTTAACGACTAAACTCTGAAAATTCATAAAAATATAATAACGTTTAGAGGTCGGTCGATTGGATTTTGTTAAACAAAAATGGTCGTTGATAAAGTAAACTCGCGTTTTAACTTTAAATAAATATATTTATTTTATCTTGCCGCCACAATTAGATTATCGAATTTTTAAATTTTAAAAATATCCAAACTTAATAAATATTTTAAAAATAAAGTTTAAAAAGTATTTTTTTATTAATTATATTAAAAAAAAAAAAACAATTTACTGACCGTTGGGAGCTGATGGTAAATATTCGTATAATAATCGGATAAAAATAAAATAAAGAATTGGGCCTGGCGGCTCGTAATTGTAGAAAAGGTCAAATATTTATATTTTATTTCTTAAAAAGCCCCATTATTTTAATCTGTTATTTACCTGAAATTGCAACTAATAATTATTGAAATTACGATGTAATTAAACATGATAATGATTTATTAATTATAAATTAATTTATTATAAGATTTGAATTTTCTAAATTAATATATTCTCAATATTAATTTATTATTCATATTTGTATGATTGTGGGTTAATTAAAATAATTTCTTTAACTAATAATGGGTTTATTAAAATGGTATTAACATTCCTTTGAATGGTTGACCGTTGACTATTTTCTCTACGTATATTCCCTCTATTTTATCCAACTAATTAAAAATAATAATATTATTATTAAACATAGGTTTTTATACATGCAAAACTATATATTATATACTTCATGTATGTGGTTTGATGATGTATATGCTAAGAACTTCATATTTTCTAAATATATTATTTACACTGACTATATAAACCAAAGTTTTGCATCTTATTATATATATTTACATAAATTTACATAAAGTTAACTTGAATTCATACGTTAAAAAAAAAAAAAAGTTAAATTATTAAAATAATAAAAAATAGATAATTATGAAACAATATTTAAATAAAACTGTTCATTTAACCCGTGAACCTATAATTCTGTGAGGATCTGGAGAAGGTAGTAGAGAAAGATTTCTCTGTGATAATTAAATGGGGTCGAGGATGAGGATTCATTCTTCACCCCCGAACCTCAATCCTGCTTCACTCTCTGCTCCCCCACTTTTATACATGAATGGTAAGAATATTTAAATCTTTGACGTGCTATCATGAACACAGCTCTATTATTAAAATACTCGATCATTTCTAAAGATCATAAGTTCAAATCTACGCTCTTGAATGGAATAATTAATTAATTTGTTTTTTTATAGAGGTAATGAATAATATTTATTTTTATTTGCAATAAAAAACGTATTTTGATAAATAAATATTAAATGCAGCTAACGGCGCAGTTGGGGAAGTTTATTATTAGTTTGGATTTTGAAAAAAGCAGCAAAAGGAAAAAACACTGACTTGTTTAATTCAAGACACCTCACATGGTTGGAATTTGAGCTCAATTTTCGGTTCACCCAACCCAAATCGGACCAACCCGATTCACACAGCGAACCGGCTAACTTTGTGTTCGCCAATCAAAATATGACACATCGCCATTTCGCACTGTAAAGTAATCATTCGTACAGTTTTTCCCCTCTCTCTTCTCTCTCTCTCTCTCTCTCTCTCTCTCCTCCTCCTCTTCTCCCCAACCAAAAGCAGGCCGTAGCAGAGAAATTTTAGAGAGAGAAATAGAAACCCTTGATTTTTCAATGTCCAAACCCCTCATTCCCTCGTCGCGGTGCTCCGATTAACCCTCTCTCAGCTCGTCTTAAATCTGACGGGTAAGGTTATTTTCTTTTTTTTCTGTTTAGATTTGCTTCTGAAACTGATGGCCCTCCCATTCCGGTCGGAGTAGTTCAGCTCCTTGTTTCCGTTTGCTGTTTCTTTGATCTGATGCGCGGTTCGGTTTCAGGAGTGGCTTATGTTGTTATAGTTTGTTTGTAGGATCTCCCGTTAAGCTGGGAGAGTGGAGAGATTCGAGAAAGAGAAAGTTCATAAGATTAACGAGATTGGAAAACAGAGATGTATGTGGTTCCTCCACCACAGCGATCGGATCCGCTTTCTGGATCCTCAAGCGGTTCTACTGATTTACGAGTCTACCAAGCTTGGAAAGGAAGCAATGTGCGTTCTTATTTTATCCGTTTTTTTTCTTTAATTACTCGTTAATTTCTTGTTGTAATTTCAGTTTTGTTCTTTGTTTTTGCTTTATCCGGTCCTCGTCAGTTTCTTCAATTTTACCTACTTAACAACATTGTTCTTTTATCCTGGTTTCTCATAAATCTTGTCAATATTGTGAAGAACCTGCTATGGTGAAATTCTGAGGATGTCTAACCACTGAGCCTTTCTTTCGCCACTCCTTAACATTTAGAAGATTCATAGAACCACAAAGAGTTGCTAATTTGATTGTTTCATTTTATCAATAGTAGTACGATTAAGAACATTAAGTATAGCTGCAAATATAAGGAGGTTTCAAAATTGAAAAAAATAAATAAAAATCTAGCTGAAAACAGAAGATAATTAAGAAACAAGTACCGAGCTTGTGAAGGCTTCCCAGTTGCACAATTCCTTTCCCTTGGAGGGGTTTCTTCCTTGCAAATTACTTGTTTCTGGTAGTTATATATGCGTAGGAAAGTATTATGCATCAGCTCGTTTTTTATAAGATCTTAATATATGCGGTGAAGTGTTTTTCTTTCAACCATGAAAATAATTTGATATAATTTGCATGATATGCCTGTTATGAAGTTCCCATGGTCTGGTGTCACAATTTACCAGTATTATTTCCCCAATCCATAACTTGCATTCATTATTTTCACCGCAAAGCGGATACTATCCACAGTAGATTAGTAATTGTTCATTGTCTGTGGATATCGATTCGTATTCTTTGTCATTTTAACCATTTGGGTTGTAATAGGAATTACATTTATACTCTTTGGAGTTATTTAATAGTCTGTTTCTGTCTCTCCTCCTGCAGATTTTCTTCCTCCAAGGAAGGTTCATTTTTGGACCGGATGTTAGGTCATTGATGTTGACAATACTTCTTATTGTTGCTCCTGTTGCCATTTTCTGTGTATTTGTTGCCAAGAAGCTGATGGATGACTTTTCTGGTGATTGGGGAATATCGATAATGGTTGTTGCTGTTGTATTTACAGTCTTTGTGAGTTCCATCCTTCTAACTATATATATAGATATGAATCTCTATGTTTCTCCACAATATTTTTTCGGTCCAACGTTCTCTGTGTTTCCACTTGGATTTTATTTTGGAATTCGTTTTCTGCAAGATTAATAATTTAGCTTAAGAAACGGCTTTATAGAAGTTGTCCATTGCTAGCAAATATTATCCGTTTTGGCCTGTTACGCATCACCGTTATCCTCATAGTTTTAAAACACGTCTACTAGGGGGAGGTTTTCACACCCTTATAAAGAATATTTCGTTCTCCTTCCCAACCGACTGGGATCTCACAATTTATCTCCATCTTATTGAGGTTTATACACGTATTTGATAGTATCTCTCAATCTTCTTAGACAAAGCAAGTACGGTTCTGCCAATTCAAATGAATTTTTCGATGCTTTAGATTCTGCAAGCAATCCCTTAAATCCTTGCATATCAGATAAGAGCATATGTTGGTTGAAGGTAGTTCTCAAGGTCAAGTTTGAATGGATTGTTCAAACAAGCTTAGTCGACTTGCCTGTGATATTATTATAACAGGATGGCCATCTGTTGGCTGTTGCTCTTGTGAATTTTTTCACGTCCATCTCCTGATTAAGGAGGGCATTGAACTGAATTATAAGAGTACCTATAACTCTCCTTACGAGTTTTGGACACTTGAGTGATAAAAGCGTCCTATAAAAAAAATGTAACTTAAGGTTATTTTACAATGGAAACTTGATGAATGTTAGAATTGTATAATATTTATGATATTTGATGGATACCTTTTTATCTTATGAGGTTCAATGGTTGAGTAATTATGTCAGTTTTTATAGTAATCGTGACTGTTGGCATTATGAACATGGTTAGTGTTGGACATTTCAACAAAAAAGAGCAAGCACAATTATTTGTACGACTGTTGGTATTTCTCTGCTCTTGATGCGTTGTTTCGTGAGGTCTCGAGATTATGACTATATGCTTAATTCTAGATATTAGTCCTCCTGTTGTTTACTTCGGGAAGAGATCCTGGAATAATTCCTCGGAACGCACACCCACCCGAACCTGAAGCCTATGAAGGTAATGCTGATGCTGGATCGACACAGACTCCCCAATTACGGTTGCCTCGTATCAAGGAAGTTGAGGTCAATGGTATCACTGTTAAGATCAAGTATTGTGACACATGCATGCTTTATAGACCCCCTCGCTGCTCACATTGTTCAATTTGCAATAACTGTGTGGAAAGATTTGATCATCATTGTCCTTGGGTCGGGCAATGTATCGGTCTGGTACGTGTTCATTTCTTTAAAACCTTATAGGCTCATCTTATTGAGGTCTCTATTTTGGAGTTTGTGGGTTTTTTTCTCCTTTTCCTTGAACTTTTTCTGCTTATTGATGAGTTTTAACATTCTATGCAGAGAAACTATAGGTTCTTCTTCATGTTCGTCTTCTCAACGACCGTTCTGTGTATATACGTGTTTTCATTCTGCTGGGTCTACATCAAGAGGATTATGTCAGCAGAGGAAACATCTATTTGGAAAGCGATGATAAAGACTCCTGCCTCCATTGTGCTAATTGTTTACACTTTCATCTCAATGTGGTTCGTTGGCGGCCTTTCTGCCTTCCATTTATATCTCATCAGTACCAACCAGGTGAGTATCTTCTGCAACTTCTAAACACGACTTTGTTGAACTCATTGATTGATCACATTCTCATTCTTGATCGATTTGAGTTGCCTTAATTTGCAGACTACGTACGAGAATTTTAGATATCGTTATGATCGAAGAGTCAACCCACATAATAAAGGCGTGTTGGACAACTTCAAGGAAATCTTTTGCTCCACCATTCCTGCATCCAAGAATAAATTCAGAGCAACTGTGCCTAAAGAGCCTGTTCTGCCACCGACTCGACTGGGAACTGGTGGTTTTATGAGTCCAAATGTAGGCAAAGGGGTAGAAGACATTGAAATGGGAAGGAAAACAGTATGGGGAGACATGAATTCTGGAGCAGATCCGTTTGATGGTCAACCTCAGATCAGCGAGCGAGTGAATGTAAAAGAAGGCGAACTCGGCGAAGTATCTCCAGATATTAGAACTGCAGTTGAAGAAGGTTCAGAACGTGGTGGATTACATCCTAGGCGATCAAGCTGGGGAAGGAAAAGCGGAAGCTGGGACATGTCACCTGAAGTCGTCGCCTTAGCAGCAAGGGGAGGCGAAAATCGCGTTGCAGGGAGCAGCAGCAGCAACAGCAACAGCAACTTAACAGCTGACAACCGGGAAACACACGATCATTGATAAACTTGGAAACAGATTTAGAGGTTATATGACAAAAAATGATTGAAGAAAAACAAATTTTAGAGTCTAATTTTATGGGTTTGAAGTGGGATTTGTTGAGGTTTCAGGGTTTGTGATTCAGCTTCCACATTGAAGTTATGTGCCATAGAAGGCGAGAGGAAGCTGCTGGGAGAGGGGGACTTGGTTTGGCAGATGTAAATGTTGATTCGGGTGTGTTATATTGTTCGAGTGAGTTTTTCTTTTCTTTTATTTCTTCTCCAGTTCTGATTTTTCTAGTTCATTTGTGGAATCAGTTAGCCCATTTGTGTAATGCATTTGTGAAATTAGTGTGCTAAATTAGCTTCTCTTATAGAACGGCACAACTCAAGTCCACCGCTCGCAGATATTAACCTTCTTGAGCTCTCTTTTGAACTTTCCTTCAAGGTTTATAAAACATGTTTGCTAGGAAGAGGTTTCTACCCCTTTATAAAGAATGTTTCGTTCTCCTCTCTAATTAATGTGAAATTTCACAATAATATTTCGAGTTTATCTTGTTGCCTTACATTTCATTTGAAACTTCTTTTTTTAATGAAATTATGACTCGGATGGACCGAACAATATTGCCTTTTAGTTTCAATTATAATTGTATTTTAAGATGTTTATGTAATATGTTTCAAACTAGGGGAAGATAATTCAACATTCACTAAATAAAATTACGTTGTAATATTAATTTTGAATATTTAAAAATTATATTATATAATCATTTTTTTTAATAAAAATAGAAGTTAAAAACGAAAAAGTGAATATTAAACTAGACCTTAAATATTTAATTTTAAAAAAATATATAACCAAATACTATATATTTTTATTTTTATAAGCATTTTAAATGGTTGCTAATTAAAATAAGATTAAAATAATAAAAAAAATATATAAATTTTGTACTTCACCTCATTCACTATTAATAATATCCGATTTTTAAAAAATACCTTGAAATGAGTATTTTTATTTATTTAGCTTAAAAGAATGCACAAAATATTTATATTATAAAGAGAAAACGGTTGATTTTCTTCCACGTGTTTCCAAGTCATTTGAAGGGTAGGGCTAACAATATAAAACCAATTTTTATTATTTTATAATAAAAATGGCATCCAATTGGAATCTCGTAATAAACAAATGGATGGAACAACGATTAAGGTGAGGCCACATTGGCATTAGTTAATGATGACGTGGAAAGATAATATATTATAGAACCAGAATATTTATAAACAAAATTGGGCGCTGGATCCTTACTGTACACGTTTATTTTTCTTTATCGTCGTGGATATTAGATCAGGTCCTACGTGGAACCGCCTCACCCCTTACCCACTCCTCTTTATGTACTACCTACTCCAATCAATTAAAATCCAACTCAGCAAATATACCAATTGTTTATTTATTTATTTATTTAAATGTTCATAATTATTAATTGAAAAAGGTTAAATACTGTTAATTTCTTTAGTTAAAAAACTAATTTTATTTAAAGATTTTTTTGTACTTAATTAATATTGAATTAATTAGGGAAAAAAAAAGGAGGTTAGGGGAGGAGGAATATTCAAAGAGCATATAATAATTAAAATAATTAAAATAAAAAAAGAAGGAATATTCGTGAAGAAGATTCGTTTTTATTGCACCTTCCTTGAACGTTGGTTTCATCTTCTTTTTCTGTTAAATACCCAATTTCTCCATATCCATCCGCCATAGCCGAAAACTGCTGAAGCTTTTTGCTAGGGCTTTGTGCCTAAACCATTCAGTCATTTTCTCCTTCACCTCCTCCGCCGTGTTCTTCCTCTGTCTCTTTCTTTGGATAATGGCGCTTAAGGCTGTCCATGTCTCTGACGTTCCTCACTTCGATCAGGTGCCGGACAATGCCTCTATGGCCATGTACGCAAACCGATGCTCCATAGGTAATTTCTTCTTCCTCCTTGTTTCTTGTTTGAATTGTGTTGTTTTTGTTGTTGTTGTTGCTGCTGCTGTTGTTGATAGAAATGGATTTGGATTTTGGTAGGTGCGGAATTGGGATGGAAAGCTTTTAGAGCCTCGAAATTCTTGGTGATAGGGCATAGAGGGAGCGGGATGAATGCGTTACAATCTTCAGATAGGAGAATGAAGGCCATTAAAGAGAATTCGATCTTGTCGTTTAATGCTGCCGCTAAATTCCCCATTGATTTCGTTGAATTCGACGTTCAGGTTAGGTTTCGATCTCATACTCGTTCTTTTTGTCATTACTCTCCGTTCTTGTGGTTTCTTGCGGTTCTTTAATGCGTTTTCGTGTTAATTCTCATGAGTCATCGTGATTTGTCCGCCGGGTTTGATTCCGCTGAGAGTTTTTGTTAGTTTTCTGAATTTGTCATTATGTGGCGCGATCCCGCCGGGTTGGGGATTGGCGGACTTGCAATTGCCTTTTTGGGACTTTGTGGGGACATAAATCCATATTCTCCTCTTGTTTTTAGCCACAATTTATTTTAGCCCAATTACTTATCTTTTCTCTCTTTTTTTCCCTTGTTTTTCTCAGTCTTGTTCTTCCGTTGAAAGGTCGACTCTATGCTATTGGATTTACATTACTTCTGTCTTTCCATATGTAAATTACGAAGGGATACTGATTATATGCTTGCTTTGTTTCTCCTTTTTCTCTGTTCTTTTTCTTGATTTCAATGGATATTGAAGTAAGGAGATGTTGATTGAGCATAAAGAATCAGGGAAGTGAACAAAAAATTGTGGTGATTTTTGTAGGTGACAAGGGACTACTGCCCAGTTATATTTCACGACGACGTTATTCTCTCTGTAGACAAAGTAGGCTCATCTTTATCCTTTTTCGTCCATTTTTGCAATCTTCTTTACACCATTAGCTGTTCTTGTTAGGATTCTTGTGTTTTATTTCTGCTAAGACTTGTATGTTTGGTCCTGATCCGACATTTCAGGGCACTGTTTTTGAGAAAAGAGTCACAGAGTTATCCCTTTCAGAATTCCTCAACTACGGCCCCCAACAAGATCCTCAAACGGAGGGAAATTGCTTGCTTAGAAAAACTAAAGATGGGAAAATTGTGAATTGGAATGTTGAAATAGATGATAGACTTTGCACTCTGGAAGAAGCCTTTCAGAAGGTGGAATCTTCTTTAGGTTTCAATATTGAGTTGAAGTTCGACGACCACATTGTCTATGATCAGAGTTACCTCACCGGTGTTCTTCAGGCTATATTGCATGTGGGTCATCTCTTCTCTCTGTTGTTGCTTCAGCCATTGTTTTTATTTCTCGTGGAAACTTAGCTCTGGTTTCGTTGATTATCCATAACAGGTGGTCTTTAAGAATGCCAAAGAGAGACCCATCATCTTCTCCAGCTTTCAACCAGATGCAGCATTGCTTGTCCGAAAGTTGCAGGCGACATATCCGGTGAGTGCTTGTCCTTGATTTTCTGTTGAGGCTCGATAGAAGCCAAATAATATAGAGATTAAGGTTTAAGATTAGAATTTAGAAAGATTCAAATCAACTACATATTTTCTAATATAGATTTAGCCTAATTGCTATAATCCAAACACTATATTAGCATGCTAAAACAATTGGGGATATTTGATGAAGGTGTTCTTCTTGACAAATGGGGGAAACGAGTTGTATCATGACGTGAGGAGAAATTCTTTAGAGGAAGCTTTGAAGGTTTGCTTGGAAGGTGGATTACAGGGGATAGTTTCAGAAGTGAAAGGGATTTTTAGAAATCCAGGGACTGTTAAGAAGATCAGAGAGTCAGAAGTATCCCTCTTGACCTACGGAACACTGAAGTAAGTCTCTGAAATCTCTTTGGAATAAAGAATCTCCGCAATAATATGATATTATCGGCTTTGAGTATAAACTGTCATAGTTTTGACTTATATCAATGGAGATGTATTCCTTACTTCTAAACTCATGATCATTCCGGTAGTTAGCTGACGTAGGAATCCCCGCCAATTATCCTCGTAATAGAATAATTTGGCTGGTTTTGATAAGTTTCTAATCTGGGTTGGTTTGAAAATGCAGCAATGTGGCAGAAGCGGTTTACATGCAGCATTTGATGGGAGTTGAGGGAGTGATAGTTGATCTTGTGCAAGAAATCACAGAGGCAATGGCGGAGATGATAAAGCCACCGGCGAAGCCGAGGGCGGAGGCGACTGGGACGACTGGAGAAGAAGGGAAGGAAGAGGAAGAAGGAAAGGTTAAAGAAGAAGAAGAAGAAGAAGAAATGGACAGAAAACCTCAGTTCTCAGAGAGGGAGCTTTCATTTCTTATGAAGCTCATCCCTCAGCTCATAGATTTCTAACATAAACATTACATGATAACAAGCAGGTTTTGTTTAGGAAAATATTGATCAGAAATATTGCCTCTCAGAAATTTTTTACTTTCTCAACAATTATTTTTTTAAAAAAGATTTTTCTTTTTCAAACAATAAATTGGAGAGAATTAGAATAGCTACTTAACCAATTTTTCATCCAATTAGCTACTTAACCACGTAGTCAATAAGTACAAATAGTTAGACATGGATAACTAATTACCACGTATTCAACTCCGTTAATGGCTTCTAAGGGTAGAGATTATTTATGAAGTTTATTAAACTATAAAAATAAAATACTAATTTTAAAAATCATAGTAAATAAATTCTTATTTTCTACCCTTCAATGTGATGTTACCTTTTGTCGGTATTAATTTAATAATTAATACTGAAGTGAGTAATAATATTAATATGGTTTGATAGACATTAAATAATAGAATTTAATATGAAATTATCAGGTCGAGACAACATTAAGAAATGTGCCCAAAAGTACACGTTTCTTAATACATTCTAGGTTAGTAGAGTTGGTTTTATAGTTTAGAATTAAATTACATAGCTCTTGTCTCTTGAGTTTTTCTAAAGATTAAAAAACTCATTATTTTAACATATTTCTCTTTGAAGAGTATAGAGGAAAAAATGAAAATTAACATTTTTTATTATTATTATATGAAGAAAAAAATGAAAAAGAAATCAATTAAATCTCATAAAACAAGTAAAATAAAATAATAATAATAATAATAATAATAATAATAAAAAACCCTTTTCTTACATAAATAAAAGGTGAGGATGATTATTATATGAGATCCCAACTGAGTTCCTTGGAAGCAACAATTAGGTTCTTATGTCATACATTCTATGTCTCCATTGGCTTTCACTGCTTCCTAAGGCTTTTTGGGTTATCCTTTTGTTGCCTTTATTGAAGAGGATGTGGTTTGTAACCCATATTATCCATGACACACTCAATCTCTTATCAAACCCCCTCCTATAATTGATCCTAGGATTGACCCTTTGTGCTATAAAGAAACCTCGATAAGGCTCACACGCACACATACGAACGCCCCTAAGGGGAGGAGACACGAGTTTCTGGCATGCCACTTGGTGGGCGTTGATTGGTTGCAACCACGACATCAAGCATTCAATCCTCAACAACATAAGGGTTTCTTGCTTTTTACATCGTCGCAATGCAAGCTGATTGAAGTTAAGAGAGAAGGGCAAGCATTTAGGTTGCTCATGCTCCATCCATGAGATTGATGTTGGTTTTGGGTAGCTATTTTTGTGGCCTAACCTCAAGCTATATAATCCTTCTATTCATAAATCTAATACGGACAATAAAAGTACTTTTGACAACAATTAAAATAATGGTTGAATTAAAAAGTAATGATAACTAAAAGGAGTAAAAAGGCAGATAAGTAAATGTAAACCGCTGTTGGCTTAGGTTAGCGTGTAAATAATAATAACAAAGAATGGCTTTTTTGGAGTCTGTTACGGTCACGCGGTTGTGAAAGCAACGACGCCGTCAAAAAACAACAAAGAAATTCCGTTTCGAAAAAGTCAAAAAATATTTTAAAAAATAAAATAAAATCAATTTCTGATTCCGAATTCTAGTCGGACTAGGATTTCCTATTTCTCACATTCCATAAAACGCAAGGAAAGATCCTTCCCTTTCTCATTCATCCCTCCAATAGCCCTTCATCTCTCTCCCTCTCCCTCTCCCTCTCCCTCTCTTGTTCTTGTTCTTGTTCTTCGTTTCTTTCTTACTTTCTTCTCTCTTTTTCCCTCCCTCCTCCATATTATAAACCAATCCCAGATGGGTTCTTTCTTCTCTATTCATATTTCGCCACTTCTTTGAAATTTTCAGAGAGATTTCTGCAGAATGTTTCCAATGGAGAATACCTCAAACTTTGTCTTCGATGGAGGCATCAGATTGCCTGTTGGATATCGATTTTGCCCGACGGATGAGGAGCTGGTCGAGCACTACTTGAAAAGGAAGGTGTTTGGTTTGCCACTCCCTGCATCTGTCATTCCTGAGTTCAATGTCTTCCTCACAGATCCATGGGGTCTGCCTGGTAACTTCAAATTTCTAAATTCTCATCTCAAAACTTCTTTTCAGAGACAGACAGAGACAGAAACAGAGTTTTCTCATTGGTTTCAATTTCTTGAGTTTAGAAAGTACTAATGCTGGACTTGTTGTTATGAATTGATTGGATTCTGTGTTCTTGTTCTTGTTTTTGTTTGTTGGGTTTTAGGGGATTCGAAAGAGAAGAGATTCTTTTTCAGCCAACAGAAGAGTTTCTTGAGGATGAATGCTGGGTGTGGGATTTGGAAGTCCATTGGGAAAGAGAAATTCATCTTAAGCCAAGGGATCAACCAGTTGTTTGGGCTGAGGAAATCTCTGGTTTTTTCAGAGTCAAAATTTCCTGAGAGAACAAGAACAACTCGATGGGTCATGCATGAATATCGATTGGCTCGCTCTGCAGCAACTTCCAACTCAACCCAGGTACAGACAAAATTGACCGTGGACTTTTAGTAAATTACCAGAACTACTCTTCTTTCATAAGAACTGATTCATTTTTTACCGTGGGGTTTGTTTTGTTTTGGTTCTGGATCAAAAAAGCAGATCGAAGTGGGGGATTGGGCTGTGTACTGCTTGTTTCAGAAAAGAAGAAAGCACAAAAGGAAAGGGGTGGAAGAGAACCAGAGAGTGGCAGTGGCGCAGGCAAGTATATTAGACTTGACGGTGGAGGATGGTTGGGAATTTCCTCAGCCTTGTGCTTCGTGTTCAAGTGGAGTCACTCAAGTCTCTTCAAATGGTACGGGAAGTACGGACCAGGAAGAGACCAGCGGTGGCTTAGGCTTAGACTTAGGCTTTTCTTAATATTCTCAAACTTATTTCAGTGGCTGAAAGTTGAATTTGTTTTGTTTTGGGTTGATCTGGCTCAACTGGAAGTCAAAAAGACAAGGAAAAAAGGGCAAATTTAACGACGACTACTACTCTTCCTTAGCGAGTAAGAAAGAAAGGACAGATAGATAGATGTCTTTTTTAAGTTTCCACCTTCTCAATGCGATTTGAATTTCCACTTTTTGTGTGCCCTGCTTCTATAAAATTCTACCAAAAGTCGAGTTTTCAGATAATCATGGGGCTGGGGAGAAACAAAAAAGTGGCATCTATTATTTTTTTGGTATTTTAGCTGGCTCTATCAAAACCCAGAAGGCCAGACAATCTACAACTTATATATATATATATATAATTATGTAGGAAAATGACAAATTTGAGCATCCATTAGAGCAGGCAAAATGGTATTTTGGTATCCAATTCAACAGGCTATCAGTGGGGAGAGAGAGGAACCTTCATGTGAGGCTATTCGTAATGGCATCTTTGGCATATGAACTCGATACCCCATTAGTGATTTTGATATCTTATTCCCAAATCCTCGAATCTCCACGACTTTCTTGAGTTTAGATTTTTATTCATATTTTTAAGAGAGGGATTCCCAAGTCTTAAATTATTAGATTTGGGTTGGATGGATGTATTTTCTCTAAACGAATGGCGTTTTGTCGTAATGGGACGGCTGAGCAATGTTTTTATATATTGGGGAGAAAAATAAAATTCCAAGCTTGGGCAACACAACTCATCCTCACGGAGAGCTACAGCCTACGGGCTACGGGTATAAGATTCTGTTTGTCTACTAGTAGAAGACCTGAGAAAAACACAAATATCCAGAAACTATTTTTCCCAAGTAAAAGATATTAAAAATAAAAAAGAATCCTTCTACAGTTTTGAGAAATTTCCTGACCCTTCGATTTCTGTTCTGCTTCAATATTTCATGGATTCAATGTTTTCGTCGCCAATAACAAGCAAAAAAAAAAAACGTCAGATTCCTTAAGCTGCAGAAAAGTAAAGTGGAAGGGCAAAGAAACAAGGTTGAATGGGGAAGGAAAAGTTGGTTTCTTGCAGCAGAGGTTTTAGAATCTTTGAAGAAATGATCTTAATAAAACGATAGTAAAACTCTGCACGCCACAATATTAAAGAAGAGAGATAAATATATAACCTGTGAGTTCTGGCTCTGTGTAAGCTCCTGAAGTGGACCTGTCATGTCAATTTCAGAAATTCATTAGCAAGTACGAGAGGTACTGGTATTTGACATGTGTATGTCTGTCTATTTAAAGCAGCTAGTAATGCATTTGCCACAACGTTTATGGCAATAATCTTCAACAAGGTGAAGAAAGAAATCAAAATAGCAATGGTTCATAGAGGGAAAAAGATTAAATCCATCGCACCAATCTATGAACAAGTCAGCCACCATAACATCAGTATTCAATTAAATTTTGGTTTTTTGTCAACGTAGCAGCTGATTTAAGACGATCCTTGGAAGTGATCCACAGGAATCTCCCAGGCTCATCTCAAATAGAGAGTTTCGTTTCAATTTGGGTTATTTTTTCCATAAAGACTCTGCCAGTATTGCATGCAGAAGCACCAGGCAGAGCTGCTGACACAAGAACTTTGGCAAGTCCGCACGTCTTCAGCATAACTATTCTAGTTTGAAGCATTAATAGAGAACCTGAAATGAACCAAGTAGATAAGAGAACTTCAGAAAAACATATACCATATCTTGTAACGCGATTCCTTGTTTACTTCTTCGGTTAATCTGAAACAGAATCAAATATGTGCAGAAGGGAGCATGAAACGGCCGTTTTGGCTCATCTACAGACTTGCAGGTGAATGCAAACCACGGTAATCTCATATCTGACTGAGCATAAGGCTCAAAATCATGCATATTTTGCGAGCATACTTTCCATTCTTCATCTTCCAAATCCCAAGATAACTCCTGAATTCATAATTCCAAAGATATTACCCTAAGCTCTGGCATTATTTTATTTTTACGAAGCAATTGCACACATAGATGGAAAGCACAGTTATAATTTATAAAGGAGTCTTCTCCATAAAAGGGTCCTCAGAAAGCCTCACCCTGTAACCGATGCATGTTTGACAGGTACTGAGGCTGTTTTGATGCAAGAAGGAAGACCAGTAGAATTTTTTTCAGTGAGGTTCAATGAAGTTCAGCAAAGTGTTCTACCCATGAGCAAGAGCTTTAATGCTAGTATTCGAACTTTTCAACATTGTGAGCACTATCGAATACAGAGAATTTATTCTTCACAGTAACGATCATGCTCTTAAATTCCTTTACTCTCAAAAGCATTTGAAAAGAAAGTATGTTTGTTGGTTTCAGTTTGTTTTTTGACACAAGCCCGGTGGCCGGTAAACAAAATGTAGTGTTTGATAAACCAAGAAGGATAGCCCATCTCTTTGTTACTTAGCACACTATGGTTACTGGAATGGACGCTTGAAAAGAGATGTTGGAAAATTAGCTCAAAGATGTGAAATTTGTCAATCAGCTACGGGAGGCTCACAAAACACAGGACTTTAGACCCGATTATCCATACCGAATGATACTGAGGATCTTTCAATGGATTTTATTCTTATTCAGAGGCAGTAGGTAAATTCTTGAAAATGTCACATTTATTCCTTGCAAGATGACATTTGATGCTAGTCCTGTTGCAAAATTATTGTTTCAGAAGACTGAGACTACATAGAAACCCCAGGTCGGTAAAATCTGGGATAGGGATGTCAAACTCTAAATTTCAGCGGTGCTTACCACCATCTGGTTAGACTGAAGTTGTATATCGAATAGTTGGGAATATGATATGTTGTTTCGTTGGGGGCAATCCTAGGCAGTGGGACCTAATTTTACCTCGGGCAGAATTTTCCTTTAGTGATTGCCAAACAAATCTACAACAGTCAGTCCATTTCAAATCGTTTACATTAAAGTGTCAAATCATGGGGTGGATGTAATACTGCCAAAGCATCGGTTTTGTAAAGCGCACACACCCACAAACTAATAGGCCCACTTTTCTATCTGCGTTCTGAAAACTAAACTAAATCATCAAGTAAAACATATGATGACCATAGGAAAATAACCAATGTATACTAACTACATTTGACCCAAACACTAAATTTCTTTAGATCCTGCATCATCTTTGTGTTTAGCTATATTAACCCACAGGCCTTTAGAGGTACCATAATGACATTTACCCATGAAGCAACTGAAAGCATGGTTGCCATGGTTACTTCCTAGATTTCGTTCTAACGTGTGTTGGCTTCCAACAGAAACCTCTAAATCGTTTCGGCATCATAGCAATGTTACTGACTCCAAAACCCACCAAGAGAAAAGGAAGAATAGGATCATTCATTTTATGATTGACGGCTACCTCCATTTGTAGAACCTTCACAAAAGAAATTCCCTTAGGATCTTCTCAATTCGCTTAGTCACTTCCTCAGGGCTTTAAGGGCTGAAATATAACAAGTGGGAAGAGAGAATGACACCAATTGAGAAAGCGAAAGTGTTCCCCTTTGGGATTCAAACTTTCTTCCACTTTTTAACTCATTAGGCACTCTTTCTGCCATAGGCTCTTAAAGACGTACGCAGATTGGGCTATCACAATAGAAAACCAAGTAATTCAGGCGCCGTGATGTAGAAGTAATAGGAAAAAAAGAACAGCAATGTATGGAAAAGGAAATGGTTGATACTATTATCAAAAGTAGCACCATCACGCAACCATACCAAGTTGAATTATGAACACAATTATCAACTAACACGCATGTGGAGGAAAAAAGAAATGGAGATACCTCAAATTGCAAACACATTGACTTGGATCGGTCAAGCGCTTGGTATTCTATGAAGGATAGAATTTCTTTCCTGTTTCTAAATTTTTTATGCATCAAACAAATTGAGTTAATGCACTGCGTGTGAAGAATATTTTTTCACTAGTCTTGTATATTTCAACGTCACAAACAAAAGTTTTAAAAGCATAATATACTACAAATATAAGGATAATGGAATTCCAAGAGATCGTTAATACTTAATAGTGAAACACCTTAAAAGAGAGAACATGGATGGAGAAGGAAATTGACCTTTTAATTCATTACACAAGAAGCAGGTTTTACACGATTCTTTTTCATTTCAAATGGGTATTATATTAATATATTCATATTAAAGATCCGTAGAAACGGTCTAAAGCTGTTCGCCTGTCTAATCAACAAACTTCGCATGAAGGTCATTATAGCTTTTACTGTCCACTTCCAAGTTCGTGGGCACCAAGAATAATCATACGGGTAACTAAGAAGAAAGTGATTGGAAATTATATCATGTACAATGTCTTGAGTACCTTGCTGAATTCTTATTTGACCAATATGCAGCAGAACAAGCTTTTGAGGAAGGAATCACAACACGGCCTATTCTTCTCTGCCTTGTAAAATAGCTAGCAAAATCAAACAAAACCTTTAGCTTATATGAGAGTCAATTGTTAGATAAATGATTCAGAGTATCATCTTGCAAGTTTATTGCTTTTAAATCAACAAATTAAATGGAAATTTTCAATAACACAGCATAAGAAAGCAACACTTGCTGTGAACAAGCAACTCTTAAGTTTGTCTCTGTAGAATGATTCATGTATTGCTTGTTGTGACGATAATCTAGCCTTCTCATTTAGAGATTTTTGTAGTCACCAATAATCCCCACAGGAGCAAAAGCCATCTTTAAAATGATGAAACCTACTTGAATCTCTAACAACAATTTCCCTTCCAACAATCTGCGAGATCACCTTGATTGCAGCATGACAGTCTGTACAAGCTCTCAAGTTTTTCATTACCACTATTGGCGACCCATCTGGTGTGTTGAGTAGGGCAAATGCAATTGCTAAGCGTTCACTGTGGTATTTAAGAGACTCAATCTTAATAACCTCATCCACATCGTGAAGGGCACAAGTTGTGTCTGGCTTATATCCTTTCTTCTCCATCTGCTTCGTCAATGCATCAATCTTTCTCAAAATCTTCTTCATCTGAGGATGGGATTTATCGTTTGCTGAGAATACATGAGTCTGATGTTTAATTTCAACCCAACTATAAGCCGGGACCTTTCTAACCCCTCGGTCCCTCATCGCCTTCTTGACCTTTGCAACATTGTCCCACTGACCAGCTACAGCATAAATATTAGACATGTTGATATAAGGAGCAGCATCTCGAAGCTCTTCCATATTAAAAAGCTGATCTGCTGCTTTCTTAGCCAACTCATGATTCTTATGAATTCTGCAAGAGTTTAATACCGACGACCACATAATCTCATCAGGCTCAAATGGCATTTGGGCCATCAACTTTTCAGCTTCATCAAATTTTCCATTTCGGCACAATACATCGACCATTGATGCATAGTGCTCTCTCTTTGGAGTAACTTCATAAATTTTAGTCATGGAGTTGAAGTGCCGAAGAGCTTCTTCAACAAAACCACAGTGACTGCAAGCTGACAGAATGCTGAGAAAACTAACAGAATCTGGCTTATAACCTGATTGAATCATCTGCTGAAATGAATCAAGTGTTCCGTCAACATTCCCATTCTGTGCATAAGCTGAGATTAAAGCATTCCATGAAACAGAATTCCTCTCAGGCATCTCTCCAAAAGATCTTATTGCATCTTTCATGCAACCACATTTTGCATATGTATCTAGCAACGCACTTCCAGAATATACATTGGACATAAACCCTGATCGAATTAGCAATGAATGCACTTGTCTTCCCAAACAAATTGAAGCCACATTTGCACATGCTCTAAGGATACTAGCAAAGGTTGCCTGATCAGAAGGCACACCAGTTCTTTGCATGTCAATGAATACCTTTATTCCTTCTTCATACCTTCCCTTCTGAACGTAGGCTGAGATCATTGCAGTCCATGGCACTGTACTTTTGCAGGTAATATTCTCAAATATCTTCAGAGCTTCCTCATATCTGTCACATTTGGCATACATGTCAACCAAAGAATTTTCTACCACAGGGTCTAGATATGCTCCAACTGCAATTGCCTGACAATGAATTTGCCTACCAATTCTCAAATTAAGAGTATTTGTAGCTATGCTTAATAGTGTTGCAAAAGGGAATTGCCTCCGGTCAAATCTAGTAAATTGTAATTGCTTAAAAAGATCAAAAGATACTTCGAATTGCCCATTCCAAGCATGGCCTGTGATGACTACATTATATGATATTCCATCCAACTCTGGCATCTCATGAAAAAGCTTCCCTGCCAAATCCACTCGGTCGTGCTTTGAGTAGAAATCTAGTAATGCATTTCCCACAAACACATTCCAAACGAAGTTGGTCTTGATAATAAGACCATGAACTTGTTGTCCAAAATTTGTGTCATCTAGACCAACAGCACTACATAGGAGGGCTGCAAATGTAAATTCTGAAGGCTTTATTCCACTATTCTGTAGCTCAAGAAAGAGCTTTATTGCTTCTTCACTTGATCCCTCATTTGAGTAACCGGTCATTAATGCATTGAAGGTCACTGTGTCTTTGATTAACATCTGCTTGAAGAGCTGGGAGGCCAAATATAAGCAATGGGTTTTGCAATAAGCATCAACCAACGAGTTGCACACCATGATGTTGCACTCATATCCAAGTTTAATGACATGGGTGTGGATTTGAACAATCACATTGTTAGTTTCCAATTCACTACAGCCTGATAACAAAGTCACTAGAGTCACATAATCTGGTTCTGTCCCTCCCCTTCTCATATCAGCATAAAGCCTACACGCTTCTTTAGATTGATTAGATTGCAAATAGCCACCAATCAAAATCGTCCACGACACTGCCGTACGTTCCACCATGCCATCAAACAACTCTCTAGCTTTAGATAAGTTCCCAAACTTAAGGTAACCAGAAATCATCACATTGAGAGAGATCGTGTTCTTGCAAGGCATTTGATCAAATACCTGATGTGCATGGAAAATATCCCCTCTCTGGAGAAAATTGTTGACCTGAAAGTTAGAGCGGCATGTATTTGCATTGAAGCCAGTTTTGACGCTGTGAGCATCGATAAGATGCTTACCATTCAAGGATGGATTTGGAGCTTGAGAATTTCTTAGAACAAGGTTTTGAACAAAAGCCGCTCTATATGGCTTCATGGGAATTCAATTACCATATAGCCATGAAATTAAATGCCGCATATGTATGCTCAACACCAGCTAACGAGATTTCCTTAGCGTTAAATGGTGTACCTCATACAATCTAATCAAATTTAAAACAGCAACATATAAAGAAACTAATGGGTAATCTTAAAGCCAACTTCAACAGACTTACCTGTTCTTCAAACTAAAACTCTATAAGATAATTGAAAACTGCAAGAGGCAAGTGAAAATGGCTTTCAATCTGAAGATGTCTTACAATAAGCATTTCCCAATTGTTGAGACAGCGATTCGTTAAATTTGGAGAAGTCTAATGAATGACTGATTATAGCGTCTTCTACTTAGAAACTGCCGTCTTCAGAGCTTCTCGAAGTGAAAAAAAACTTGATTCAAAAGTAGATTGGAACTGGAAGTGATTGGAATAAGATTGAGCGGAGTTGAAGATGGAGTTGAACGAAGGCGCGAAAACTTTGCTCCAATGGAAGGAAATGAGTGGCGCGGTTCTATCAGGCCAGATATTTATACGGGTTTCTTCGAGTTTTTGGGCTGGGCTTGTATTTCATTTGTTCTTTCAGCGATTGGGCCTGTATCTTGGCCCATGATAGATGGGCTAATGTTATATACTCCTTTTGAACACTGTTGCAAAAAAAAAAAAAAAAAAAAAAAA